ACCAACCCAAACCCCCACCCCCCCCCCCATAGCAAATCGGAGCAGGTCCCCTGTTGGGGGCTGTCAGAAAAAGACAGCCTGGGCTTCTCAGCCTGGACAGGTCCCAATCCGGCGAGAAACTCCGACGTTTGCTCCCCGTGTTCTTCATTTCCCTCACATCTTTCTTTTCTTCTCACACCCCAAATATTGGTCAAGGCCCCCCTACGCTTCTCTTTGCGGAAAGCCTTGGCACAACCATTCCCCCCTTCCGCATCACAGCGGGCCGGGTATTGCGGGAGGGCCGCCAGAGGGCAGGTTTGAAACGCTGGACGATATCGCCCGCTCAGACGCCAGAAAAAGGAGGGAAAAAAAGGGGGGGGGGTTTGATTGGCAGAATCCTTATTTTTTTTTGGGGGGGCTTGACCACATCGTGGCGATTTGTTTCATCGACCCTTCCCCGGGCTGAAATCCGACTTTTGCTATTTTTCCCTTCTCGGACGTCGCTGATTGCTCGTATGTCAAACCGGGATGTTGGCACCACAACCAATTTTCTGACCCATGTACGCTGCACGTGGCCGTATACCAGAAAAAGCAACCACCGAGACGCAATAAAATCCCAAAACACACTCATCCTGAATCCCACAGACGACTCCTTGCTAGTCACCCCGCTTAAGCAATGTGATGTGTTTTCCCAGACCCACAAGGGTGGACATGGCCGCAGCTGGTCTAATTATGGACTCAATATGTGCAAAGCAGATCTCTATTCAAAGCTGCAATTATCGCCCCCATATCCCTCCTTACATGGTCACATAGGTACAGCCCGCGAGGGAGGGGTTCCGGGAGGCGGCCAAACCCGGCTTTTGGCCGGCTCTAATGTGGCGAAAACAAGAAGGTCTAACCAGCCCCAAACTCCAGAGCTATGCCAATCGGGTGAACTAAACAAAAAGGGCACCTGTGGGGAGGAAGTGTGGCGTCGTTGGCTCTTGAAGAGGCAGACATGGCGGCACAGCCATCATGTCACCGTCTGTCACCTTCCCCCTGCTAGTGGCAACTAACAGCGCGGGGGCGGTCGCTTTTAGTCGCGTCCGCCACCGCGCGACGACCCCTGGGCCCTCTGGTGGCGGATGACGGCAAGCGAGACGAGCAGGCCGAGTCCGCAAGCGGCCAGGGTGACGTAGTAGGCGGCGCGGTAGCACTCGAGCCCGCTCGGGCACGAGCGCTCGCCGTCGGGGCCGACGACGCTGTGGGCGTCAAAGGCGGTGCCGTAGAACAGGTTGAAGACGTATCCCGACACGACTGGCGAGAGGGTCAGGAACCCCCAGTTCTGCGACAGGCCGTGGATGCCAAACGACTCGGCCACGATGGACGGGAAGACGCCAAACAGGAAGCCATAGCCGAGCCCCGAGAGACCAGACACTAGGCCTAGGAGCCTCGGGTCCGTGATGGTGATGGCGCTCACCTGCGCCGCGAAAAAGATGAGCGACGAAACCACCAAGCACCACACCCTGTTGGCGTGGAGGGACTTGACCAGGAAGTCGGAGCCAACACCTGCGGTTCGATTTCGGATTGTGTAAGTTTGGGCTCGCGACCTCGTGTGCGGAACGACAGGTTTATGGGGGCGTGCAAACTGACCACTCAATAGCCTGCCGGCGAAGCTACCGACCGACAGGATGGACACGTGCATCTGCTGGTGGCTGACGAGGAACTCCTCCGTCACCTTCTTGTCGTAGTACCTCCATAAGGCGTTTACGTTGTGCCCAATGTTGCTTTGGGCCGAGAGCTGTTAGCCTTCTTGTACTCGGTCGCCGAAATTCTTGAGAAAACACGACTTACTTGATGGTCATGAGCCCGATGCCGGCCAGCAGCGCCATTATGGAGAAAAACTGCCAGAATTCGCCGTTGGAGAGAAGGCTCCAGCCGCGTATGTCTATGCGATGAGAGCGATCCATGTCGACACTGCTCTGGACCAGGACCTCGCCGGGGAGCGACGACGCCGTGCTCGACATCAGGGATGACGTCTCGTCTGCGTGTTCCCGGGGTAGATGCGCGGCGGCCTCGACGTCGGCGTCCTGGCGGGTGGTTCTGGCGGCAGCATGGGCCCCTTGGCGCTCCAGGCCATCACCGCCGTCCTCGTCGTCGTCGTCGTCGTCGTCGTCATCGCTGCTCTGCGGGGCGGCCTTGGCGGTGGCGGCCGGCGCGTCGGATGAGGTCCGGCGCAGCTGCTGGGATTCGACCAGGCTGTCGTTGGCGCCGCCCGAGAGGCTCTGGTAGGAGATCTGCGAGCTGCGGCGGCGGCGGTGGTGGTGGCCGTGGGCGTGGTCGTGGGGCCAGACGCGCAGGAAGAAGAAGCCGACGAAGCACAGGCAAAAGGTGCCGACGGTCAGCGTGGCCAGGAAGGCGCCCGTGCTGCCGGGGAAGACGAGCTCGCCAAAGACAGAGAAGGAGAAGGCGCTCAGGCCGAAGGCGGCGAGCGGGAAGGCGGTGGCGGTGCCGCGGTGGTGGGGCCAGTTGAGGGCCGAGGTCTTGACCGAGGCGGCGAAGGCCATGCAGCCGCCGAAGCCGGTGAGGTACGACGCCATGCACAGCAGCGTGACGGAGCCGTCGCCGCGGTCGTAGGCTAGCTTCTGCGGCAGGTAGCCCAGGCCGAGAAGCAGGGCGCCCAGCATGACGGCGGGGCGCGGCCCCGCGTGCATGCGGTCGATGACCATGCCGATGGGCACGCCCATCGTGTACATGCCCAGGTTGCCGGCCACGCCGATCAGGTTGCTCTGCGTTGTCGACAGGCGCAGCTTGTCGGCGAACTGGGGCGCCCAGGCCGAGTAGACATACTGCGAGGCGGGCGGGGCTTGGGTTAGTTCAGTCTTGCTCCTAGAGCACGGCACGCGTGGCCAGCGGCCGGAATGGGGGACAGCGCGCGCTCACGTTGGTGCCGCAGGCGAGCGATATCGCCGTGGCTGCGACGCTGGACACGATGCGAGCCCTGTGGAGGTCTCGCTCCGACAGAGGAGCCATGGTGGGAGTTGGAGGACGGGGCCTCTCTGTCGAGCTGTTGTGGCTTTCTGCGACTTCTCGCGCCAAGTCAAGTCATGACTGTTGTGGTGGTGGATGATGGGATTCCGGCGCCAAGCCAGGAGATCTGGGGAAGGCCGCTATCGGGATACTGCTGGAGCTCGGCTGCTCGCTGCGCGTGTGGAGGCCCCTGCTGAAGCCCCTGATTGCAGGGGGCGTCGCCGTGGGTGGATCTGAAATGGTGGCAGCTGACACGGTGTGTTGCTTCAAGACTGGCGCTCTCTTGTTGCCAGTCGCCGCGTGACCAGCTGACTCCCGGTAAGCAAGTCTGTCTCTATTTCTTCTGCTCGACTAGGATTTGTTCTAGCGGTCGTAGAGAAGAAGAGATCTTTGTAGAGAAGAGAACTCGATGAGGGCATGGGTTGGCACCCGTTCGCATTATAGGCGTCTCAATGCAATGTCTCAACACAGACACACACTGTACCACGCGCTATCATGCATTTGGCTTTTGACTGCGACTGAGCATGAATGGATGGATGCTTATCTCGACCAGAGCTCCCTGTCAGCCGTCGTGGACAGCTGATGTGAAGACCGACGAAGCCGACCGGCGAGGCTGGACTGGCGCCCTGTCACCACTGACGAGGTACCTGTAGGTGCACTTGGAATCGACCTCGAAATTACATAATAGGCGCGCGAAGCTTCATGTGACTGCAAGAAGGGAAGCGGGTACAGCTGCAAGAGAGCACCGTGACCCACGTGATATCTACACGTGATGCTACCGAGGCGGAGTTTGTTGGGCGACGTAATCGGGCGCCACCACTGAGGCCCACCAATTGCCGACAGCCAACGCCCTCGGTTCATGGTCGGTCGCCGCTGTCCCGCTTGACTCGACCTGCGACTTTGTTCCTCCATCTCGAATCTCGACATCTCGGCATCTCGAAACCAACGCCCACCACCCAGCGCAAGCCGTCGCTGCGCACACCTCCAATCGCCACACACATCTGACACCCCCCCAAGGCTCTCTGGCAGGCCTTGCCCCCCTCCACGATGGGCGCGCTTCTCTCCTTGCCGCTGATGGCGGTTCCCAGCGTCGGCACGGTTGGTCGCCCTCTCCCTCGCCGGCACAAACAGCTGTCGTCCAAAGACTAACACAGACGCCTTCTGCCAGCTGCTTTCCTTTGGGGCCACCTGCTGCGGCGCCGCAACATGCTCCATGGTCTGCTCGGCCTGCGGAAAGTGCGGCAACAGCGTCGCGACCCGCATCGGATACGCCCTCATCCTCCTCGTCAACTCGATACTGGCCTGGATCATGGAGACGTCGTGGGCCATCGACAAGCTCCAACACCTCATGCTTGACTATGTCAAGATCAACTGCCCCACGGGCCAGTGCTACGGCTGGCTCGCCGTCCACCGCATCAACTTCGCCCTCGGTCTCTTCCACCTCGTCTTCGCCGGCCTCCTCTTCGGCGTCAGCTCATCCAAACAGCCGCGCGCCGCCATCCAGAACGGCTACTGGGGCCCCAAGGTCATCGCCTGGCTGGCCCTGATCGTCATGTCCTTCCTGATCCCCGACACCTTCTTCGTCTTCTGGGGCAAGTACATCTCGCTGGTGTTTGCCATGATGTTCCTCATCCTGGGCCTGATCCTCCTCGTCGATCTGGCCCACAGCTGGGCCGAGTACTGCCTCGAGCAGATCAACGAGACCGAGTCAAAGGCCTGGCGCACCGTTCTTGTCGGCTCGACCCTTGGCATGTATCTGGCATCTCTGGCCATGACCATCATCCAGTACATCTTCTTTGCGCGCTCGGGCTGCTCGTCGAACCAGGCCGTCATCACCATCAACCTGATCCTGTTCTTGCTCGTCTCCTTCATCTCGGTCCACCCCGCCGTGCAGGAGACCAACTCCAAGGCCGGACTGGCCCAGGCCGCCATGGTGGCCGTCTACTGCACCTACCTCACCATGTCGGCCGTGTCGATGAAGCCCGATGACACGGACGACAAGCACTGCAACCCGCTTATCCTCGCCCAGGGCACACGAACCACCTCGGTCGTCATTGGCGCCATTGTCACCATGTTGACGGTTGCGTGGACGACGACGCGAGCGGCAACGCAGACTCTTGGCCTCGGAACCTCGCGCGGCGGTGCCATCAGGCTGCCCGATGACGACGAGCACGGACTCGTGACCACGCAGCCGGGAAGGCGGGAGATGCGGGCCGAGGCTCTGCGCCGGGCCGTCGAGGAGGGCAGTCTCCCCGCGGATGCACTTCTTTCGGACGACGAGGACGACGACAGCACAGGGGGCGGCGGCCGCCACGACGACGAGCGTGCCTCGACGCAGTACAGCTACACCATGTTCCACATCATCTTCTTCCTGGCCACCGCCTGGGTCGCCACCCTGCTCACCATGAACTACGAGGACTCGACCAAGGGCAAGGACGGCGACTTTGCTGCCGTCGGACGCACCGTCTGGGCCTCGTGGGTCAAGATTGCGAGCTCGTGGGTCTGCTATGCGCTTTACGTCTGGACCCTTGTCGCTCCTGTCCTAATGCCCGACCGCTTTGACTCGTAATGAAGGCGCCCCGATCATCATGGTCGCGTCTTTTATACCAACTGTACACCAAGCCAGCATGGCTATTCTTTCGTCTCCTACTCTGTCGTCTCATATCCTTTATCATCTCAACTTCCTCTGAAGAACAAACTGTACATGGACACGGGCAGACCGTGTTATCCGTTGTGTGCCAAGTAAAGGGACGGGTAGCGCAC